CAAATCTCAGTTGGCAGCTTGTCAGCACTCGGTTGAGGTACAGAGCGTTGTAATTGCACTACCACGTCAAGACTGGAGCAAGACATCCTGGCTTCATTGGAAAGCTGCGATGACCACTCGTGAGTTAAATAAGCAACGAGAACAACTCTTTTAAATAATAATAATAATAAAAAAAGCCCTACCCCAGCAAAACTGCAACCTTCACTTGCCTTAGCGACAGCGAGCACCTCTCCGGTGCTTGCCAGCTGTAGAAACTGGACCGCGGCAGCCTGTGTTTTGATGCATTTACGTTTATCATCCGATTGCGCCACTGATTGAAAGCACAAAGAAAACAAGGCATTCGTAGTACTAGGTTAATTTAAGACTGTTCGTAGTGAATTTAAAAAGTAAAATAATAAAAAGAATGGCAACAATGTTATTTTTATGACATATTGTCATGTGAAGGTGTAAATATATGCACCTCTATTGTATGCAAATGGTCACAAGACAGGCCAATGTTTTTTGCTTTGCACTATAATTTGCTTTTTTAAAAAAATGCACAATCGCTTGTACAGTAAAACCCCTTTGTCTGGCTCACAGAATATTTAACTATAAAATCTAATTTTTGGTCTTATTTGTTATAATAATATAATTCTTAAATGTGTTGAAGGATCCAATTCTTAATAATGCTTCTAATACTTGTATGTGCAGGGTAAAATAACAACAAACAAAGGAGATGAGAACAAAGATCTTTGTAGATAAAGAAGGCTAAAGTTGTTGGTTTTTTTAATGGTGTCTTATGATGGACATTAAAAAAAACTGCTAGAGATACCAAATAATGTGGTTATTTGTGTAATATACCAGCCCTACTTGAAGGTAATGCCCTATATTTAATATGTAGCCCATCTTTTTAACCTGTAGCACTTGTCACTGGGGAGGGGGGGAGGCGGGAAGGGAGGGAGAGGAAGAGGAGGATCTGCTCCTGTTGAAGTCATTGGAAGAAGCTCTCGCTGGAGACGTCTCTGCTGCACTGGCTTCAATGAGAACAGAGTCGGGCTCCTCTGTGAGCGGGTGGAAATCGCGTTGGTACGAAGCCATAGCAAAGTGGTCGGTTCTGCTTTTCTATTATTGGTGTCAATGTTCTTATCCGATGTACGTGATTATATCGTCAGGCCTCCGTGTAATCATTTTAATGCCTTTCCATGTGGAATAATAAACGTACGGTTACAAGTCTCCCCAGTGCCTTCTGCCTGCTCACTTCGCCCCGGGGGGGAGCAATCTGTGCCCCGGTACAGAGGAAGGTTCGTCACGCTGTTCTTTATCCAGGGTCTCATTCTGGCACCTCTCTGAGCATCCCGGTGCCCGGATCTGGTGTCTGGGGGGGATTCGTGGCTGCTCTCCGCCACAGTTTGGCCCGAGCAGGCGCTGCGAGGGTGTGCGGGGAGG